ATTCAGTCTATATTATATGCTACGGGATTTATGGAAAAACAGTCTATTCACATGTTGAGATGAGACTGTCACCGAACAATCAGGTTTTTAAAACTATCACATGTGTCAAAGGGCTGATCGTTCCACCAACAGCTCAACATGCCTTCACAAAGCACAGAGTAACTCGAGGTAATATTTTTTGCTCAACCATCCCGTGACCGACGCTTGCGAACGATCTCGGGCCGCGACGCTTATCTATTACTCCACCGAGAATAAATAGCTATTTGTAAATAACAGTAAGTGTTTAGTGTTAAAACTTAAAGAAATAAATATTTTTACCCAATAATTTAACCCAACACATTTAAATTGCTTAGAAAACTATAATTCTCTATCAATACTCATCCAGCCTTGACTTTGGTCGATATAAACTATAACACATTTCCACATAACGCTTGATAATGCATGCAATGGGGGATGTAAGGAGATATTAGTAAAGATAGCTCCGGTATACTATGGTTCAGGCGTGAACCTTGCGTGTCGCCCTGGCCTTGCGCTCCCTTATTGCCATTCAAACTTAATACGAGCACAGTAGACAAATAAATAAAACTGTTCCACAAAACACTATCAAACACCTGCAATATAATTGTTTAACGTCGGCGAAACGATAAAATGTAATGGATTTGCTGGCAATCGAAATAAAAAAGGACAAGTGGGAGTCGAACTCCAGCATGAAGAATTCCGTACATTATCTATAACATAATAAAAAAAAACACGTTTGTTTTAAGGAAAGCGCCCTATCAATATTTACTTTATTCTGTTTTTAGTATTTGTTGTTTAGAGATATATGGTTCATGAGCTTCGTGACAGACAGCGAAATCTTATTATTGGGGTCTCTTTTTTACCATTTAGCTAAACGTGTCTGTTTTTGCAGGGCTTAGGATATTAAAGTATCGAAGCAGGCTGTTCTACCATCCCTATATTGCGGAGAACACAAATGCTAACTTCCTTTATTGCACGCTACACATAACACATAACAGAGAAACTAGAAAACGGAAGACAATACAAAGGGCGGCCTTATTGCTATGTAGCATTCCAGGCAACCCATGATGGAAGATAAAATAACCTACCTACATATATAATAAACAAAAGAGAGAGAGGTGCGAGATGGAGTAATAATATATCTAAATAACGTTTATAATAGATAAAATAGAGGTAAAGTCAAAAAAAATATGAATAATCATCGTTGAGTATATGTTTTCTTTTAATTTTTAAAGCTCATTGATTAATAGCTATGTTAAAGCCCGTCTTAAGCACAACAGACGCCCGGGTGCAAATTTTTTTTCGCACATATATACACATATATGCACATTATATAGATAAATATATATATACATATTTCAAGATTCGTTGTTCAGCCTCAGCGGTTGAAAGATATAAAAATAATTGAAAGGAAATTACAACTTTGGGGCACATTACCGAAGCAATCGATGAGTAGGTACTACAAGATTAGACCATCATCGGCGCGGCGCCCGGTTGCATTGCACCCCAGGAGGTGCAGGGCACCATAGGTAAAGGCGGGTCTAGTGCAATGACGTTAAGTACCATGAAATAACTAAATATTCAGCGCCCGATAGGCGCCCGGGTGCACCGAACCCCTTGCACCCCCGGATAAAGACGGTCCTGGCTATGTTATTATAATCGTAGACTACTCTACATACTACTAGACATAACCACAAAATTGGTACTTAAAACTTTTTATTTGATTTTATTATTCTTATATTAAGATAATATCAACCATTCAAAATTATCTGATTTCGCCTATCAATGCCGACACAACATTATTTGAATTGATTATTGGCGAGAAAGCGATTCTCAAAAAAAAGTATTATTAACATAACACATACATATTTATAGTTAAATACATAAAACAATTGCACTGGACACTCGATTTTGTTTGTTTGCAATGGATAAACTCAAAAACTATAGATACTGCTGCTACTTTCAAATATCTGTAATAATTATAATTCTGTAATATAAGTAGTGACCTGGTTAATATTTTATTTTTATTGAGTGGCTAACTCAATTATAATATAACTAAATATCAAACTCAATAGCGAAAAACTAGAGATACATTTTTATTAATATTTTAAGTTGTTTAAAGTAAATAAAGATTTTAAGATATCATTTTAGACGTATAAGATACTGAGCCCATTACATTACATTTAGAAAACAGCTAACATCAAACACAACAAAAAAAATCCAGACTTGCTACCACGGGACTCTTCATGGGCGAGTCCGACACTTACTTTTTAGGGTACCGTAGTAAATAAAGAACCCTTATAGTTTCGTCATGTCCATCTGTACATCGACCGTCCACGGTTTAGTTCAAAAACTATTGGTACTAGAAAGTTGTAATTTGGCATAAGTATTCACGTTAATTACGCCGACAGAGTGGTAAAGTAAAATTTTGAAAAAAATGAAATACATATAAGTGCTGGTAATATTTTTTTTCGTCTTTCCATAGCGTGGGAAGGCCGTTTTTCGATTTAGTAAACCATTTGTGACTTATTAAATTTGAAAGAGCTAATTTTCGTTAGAGTCAAGTCTCCCACCCTCTACCAAACAAACGATCATAGGTAAAAATTCAAACGTTTGAATTTTATAACCAATATATAACGAAGTAAAAAAGAATACTATCACACTTTAGTTAGTTTTACAAGTTTATGAGTGATAATTGCCCAATTATATTAGGCACTCAAACTCAAGCTTAAAATATGTTGATTTTTGTGATTATTATTTTGATTGGTGTTATTAATTGATAATTTATAATAGGTATGATGACTGGGTATAAAAAATGCAATTCTATTTAGTCCGTCAGTCAGATAATAGAAAAATATTAGATACGTATTTTATTTTACTTCAATTTAACAAGAAATGGCTTAGATAACAGGCATTAAAGTTGAGGAGTGGGGGCTCGCTACGTCACAGTTTAGTAGAAAACGTACCATAACGTGACGTCATGTGAAATTTCAACTCCATGTAACGCCGTAATTTTATGATTACGAAAAAAATAAAAAAATACATGTTTAATATTTTTTAACACTCTACCTGACGGACAAACTAACAAAAATTAGTCGTCATCCCTATTGTTGAAACTAAAATGGATCAATTATGGATTACTTTTTATCATCGAATGTTGTATACTTATACTAAGACCGTATAATGAGGGAATTCATTTTATTATATAAACCTCATTCAGGCACAGAAGCTACTCAATTGTAATATTGAGTATAACACATGTAAATTTTGGAAATAAATATTATTATTATTAACACGAAAATTTCGAACAACTCCATAGAAAACAACATACGTGTTTTTTTACCTTTTTTTGGTGATAATAGTACGGAACCCTTCGTGGGCGAGTCCGACACGCACTTGGCCGGGTTCTTTATTCATTTGTCATAGCTTACACACAGGGAAAAAAAAACTCAAATAGTTTGAGAAACAGTGTATCGTATCAGTGTACCCCATTATTCGCTAGTGTCATCGCGTGCCAAATACCTATAGCTTCTTCACGCAAGTCTGTAATGACAAACTATGTAGGTAGGTGTAAAAGAATTTACTTATACTTACGTTATAAAAAAATCTTTTATAGATTTATCGTAATGGGTTGCGAATTTTGCGAGTCATTAATTAAGTTAATTAAATCAGTTTTAGACCCTTTGAACTTAATTCACCATTCTCTGTCCGTATCGATGTTATGAACTCAATTTGCATTAATAAACCCACCGCTCATAATTTAGTAATTACAATAATATATTTTTCTTTTTTTAAATAAATCTTCTGCTTCTAACTTAAAAAGTACACTTTTCGAAGCAGCCTATTATTAAGACAACACCAAATAATTGTTGACGACATAATTTTGTAAACTTAACATGTAAGGTGTATATTCTTGTTGGTTGCCGAATAAATAAATAAATAACTGAATGCAATGAGATAGACTAAGATATTTTTTCCTATCGCTATTGAACAAGTAGGTACGGAGAACGGTAAATAAATAAGTCATCACACAGACCTAATGCAGATTAGTAGAGGATAGGACCCTATCTAGTTATAAGCCAATCCAAACCAGAATTAAAAAGTTGCATTTGCTTATCAAATTAAAAAGCACAACAAAAATACAAATGTAAATGCACAACAAAAACAATCACATATTATATTCTACTTTGAGAATTCAAAAAAGTTCTTAAAAAATAATTTAGAATAAGCATGGTTCCTAATTTTAATGAATATTATCGAGTTCCTTGAATTAGTTTATCAACTGTTTATATTCAGTATTATTGTAAGGTTTTGATGGTATTTTTCTAGTCAGTTTTCTTTTTGAAAATGTTACTGTTTGTAAGGAAACTTATAAAGAAAATATGTAAAAAAAAGCGTCAACAAATGCCTACTTTGCATCTTAAAGCAGACAATAATTTAAAACGGAATGCCTATATGAAGTTATATATTACAAAAGCAAGAATCCTTATTCAGAAAAACATGGGTATTTAGTATTTTAACAGACCACGATTTAAAAAGTTTTTTCTGTATAATTTTTGTGATCCAAAACTTAACACCGTTTTAATAATTTTCCCCTAAATCCTTCACTTTGTAATAATTTATCATCAAAAAGTAAAATCTATTATTATATCTAACCTATTGCCATGTTTAATTCATTATTCGTATTTAAATAACATGACGTTGTTAGTTTCAACTAAAATGTATATAGAAATTATCTTCATCGATAATTTACATGGTATGTTATTTATATTATCATATGTTAATTTAAACAGAATTATCTGAACATCAATTATATTTGAATCGCCATTATTAATTCAGAAAGCCAACAACGTAACGCAATAGTGTTATTAAAACTCTGCACAATAAAAACATTGCCATATAGGTGTTATTTAAATATCTAGTGTATGGTTATACAAACAAAAAATATATAATTATGGAACATTAAACCCATTGAACCTGACTGTGATTTCTAACGGTTGCTCCGTCGCCAGGGCTCGGCAGATCCTGGGTACGAGACCGGGATCAGTATCTGGGCCCATCATGGTGTAAGTTTTGCCAGTGGCGCTCTGCCCGTAGGCCAAAACGCACGCGGATGATCCGCGGGATACGAACTCCACCACCTCCCGACCTATTGTGTCGTACACCTGGATAGAATCTCCACGTGTTAAAAATCTATGGGACGAGGCGTCAGCGTAACGCTGGCGGTACGAGTTGTTATATTGCCATTTACCTATGATACACGAGTTAATTTCGAAACGTAAATGATTATAAACACAACAAACCTTCTCCTGGGATGCATAAGAAGGATTCGTAAAGGAACAAGCGCTGTCAAATGCGTAGTCAGCGGAGTACGTGCGCACTCGCGTCCTACTATCACCGGCACCAGATATGCTCACCTGAAAGAACGCGTTTTCTTCGTAATACATACATAACTCACATATTGTTATATGTATCTATACAATAGCTTGTTATCATTTAATTAAGGTCGTACAGAACTTTACAAATACAAAGTTAAACTGCGATTGGATTTTAAGTAATCTTTTACTTCCTTTTTCTTCTTCTATGTCACTTGTCGTATGATTATTATGTTAACAAATACCTATGTATGTACTTCTATAATGATATACCAAAAATACATAAGTATTACAGTGTTTTCTTACTTTTACATTCGTTATTGTGACTGTGTGTTCGTCGACTATATTTACGACCCGTGTACGGTCTTTATCCGACTTAAACTCCCTGCAACAAATAAAGAATACTTAATTAATTGTATGATCCACAGAATGTGAGGTCATCTAACTGGATTAAAATGATGTACTCTATGTACTCAGTTTAATTTGAAATCGATCGTGAAATTTGAATTTTTTATATTAACCTTAACGTGCATAATTATAATGAAACTTAAAAATTATAATATAGATAGATTTTTAGAACGAATTTACGACCGATTGGATATCCAAATACCAGTCGAGAGAGGACTCTGGAGCAAATGCTCAAAGATGAAGATGGCCCTTGATCCTCCACGGGTCAGAAATGAACTGAATGTCGACTTGGATCTTGCAATTTTCCAGACCCCATGATTGGGTTCAGGACTGAGACTTATTTCTTTGGAAACTTTGGACCATGGAACCTTTTTTATGTTTTTACGATATGTATGTTTGCATCGAATAGTTGAAAACATAGTTGAAACCAAATTCTTAACATTGCTGTAATTTGTTGTTCATATTATTTTTAGATGGTGCTATTACCTTTCAGTAAAAGGGCGAACCCTTATTCCTAATTTTACATTTGACATTTTCACTGATCTACTTAACAATACTTAATAAATAACTTCTCAACACAAAATAAGATTTTACTAGTTTTATTTTTATTTCACTAACTCTTTTCGTTTTCATAAACTTTTTAAATATAAATTACAATAGAAATGCGTAAAATACACCCGTGTGAGGTGCAACTTTCAGCGGCAAAACGACACAGTCAACTAGTTATTTTGGTCAACAAACTTCCTGCTGTTTGGATAGTTATAGTCCAAAATATAAATAGAGGGATCTACGCTCGGGATTAACCACAAACAGGAAAGTTAATCCCAAATGTCACTCTCTAATTTTTAAGTGCTAAAACTCAAATCGTTGTATAAACATAACGTATTAAATCTCGATTGACAGTAAACAAATAAAAAATACTCGAAGCCGAACACATAATCTTACAGGTTGTGTTTTCGAATTCCGCAAAATTTAGTAAATCATAAAAAGAATCGTTAGGTAATATTTGTGTATTTCTTCGTTTTGCAATTTTTATAGATATGGAACCGTTCGTGCGCGGGTCCGACTCGCAGATGACCGGTTTTTTATATTCTCTATGTTTTAGATGATATCGACAAAAACTTACTTATGATTTTAGCTGTGTACCAATTTGGTTTTTGTTTTTATATCGCAAATGCCGTAATATTGTATAGTCAGATATTATATTTACTCAGTACTGCTGTATGGGGTTGAGTCTTAAATACTAACACAATATGCTCTCAATAAACTGGAGGCTTTCGAAATGTGGGTGTACTGTCACATATTGAAGGTCTTGTGGCGTGACAAGATGAGCAAAGTACTTAAAAACACTACATTAACACCACCAAGTGCCCCAAACTCTTATATCTAATTCATAAAAATCAACAGTTCTATTGCTATGGAACATAAACTTTCAATAGCTTTTTATTATTAAAAAAAAAAACAACGTCATTACAATAATATATGTGTGGCAGTACATCTCTTTCATAATCTTTGTCGTTCTCTCTGTGGCAATGTAATCTATGACATTTGTAATATAAACAATATGCATTTGTAAGTCGTCATTCAACATTTAAACAGTCTGAAAGTAAATTCAAACCTGTGAACATATTTATTCATTTTACTGACCCTTCGTACAAATAGAATCAGATAGTCAACTTACCAATAAGGTAAATATCACCAAATATTGGTATATTATAAATAGACACCCCAAAATGCGGTAAAGTGGTGATCCCGTACAAAATACGGTAAACTAGATTCAATCTTTTACATTTGCAGCTTCAACGTCGAACATGGCAGACGATGAAGAGAACCTACACGTGGATTTGTTGCATACCATACCAGAATATTTTCTTTAAAATTTTGAATTAAAGCCTCTCAATTTCCATTATTATTATATCCACAGTACGAGGAGCGACTGCACACATCCTACTAATAGAAATGCGTATGTTTGTAAGGATATACGATGAACGGATTTCGATAAAATTTGGTATCAGCCCTTTTACGTCCCCACTGCAGGGGCACGTGGCCATGACACTCCACGCTGGCCCAATGCGGATTGGAGGATATTAACGACTGCAAATGTAGCCGGGCCGGAGCCTTGTGAAAGTTGCTTATCCTCTACGCCTTTATAAAATTTGCTAAACGGATAATGAAAAAAAACGAAAGCACTAAAAAAGCACCTCCACTAGATGGCGACTCTAGCAAAAGTTGATTTTTGCAGCAAACGAATGGACCATAGACAGTCATTTCCGTTCCTTTTAAATAAGATATTCAAAAACTGAAATTTGAAAGTCGGGAACTTAGATATCAATACAAACACGTAAAAGTATAAATAAAATATGACTTGTTTATTGAGTTTTGAAAACTAATTGACTTTTAAACATAAAAGAAAACCGGAAAGGTTGTCATGGAGAAATCAAAAACGTACCATATCAACATTTAGTTTAATTTCGGGAACTTGTGTTTTTTTAAATACTTCCTCATTCTACGCCTAACATAAAAGCTACTTTTTATTACTTTCCTGAATATCAAGATGATTAATATCCCTTTGTCTTAAAAAAAAAGTGTCAAATTGACAATGATGTCCTAAATTTTGACGTTGTCGACTTGTCACGATCCGGTTCGGTCGGCTTATAATAGATTAAAATATACTAATTTTAAAGTAGTTCCGATTATATTATTCGTGTTTTATTTCTTAAAAATCTACGTTATATCACACCTTGAGGTAATAACGTGTAATATAGTGTTTTGTCATATCCTTTTAATCGTATTAAGGCAATGACGTTTTAACGTTGTACATATTCAGGATAAGAAACTAACCGCTAGCATTTTCTCTTTCCTTACTTATTTGTGTCACAAGAAGCAGACCCGCTTAGTCGAGTACTAAGTTTCACTTGTTTGTGACAAGTTCTAGATTTAGTATATACTTTCTTCCAAAAGGATTAATAACAATTATAAATCTTGTAATTTACTCCCATAAGTTATATATCCCATTAATTAAGATTGTTCTAAATATAAAAGCATTCAATAGTTGAAATAACACTATTTCTTAGTTTTGTATAACAAATTTCTAACATAAACATGTTTTAATGGTTTAGTAAACTTGAATTAGTTTACTAAACCATAAAAACGTGATCAAATGAAAAACACAAACATATGTACATTTTTCCCATCTCAGGGCACCTGGAATTAGTGGATTTTTAAGCAAAATTGATCAAATATAATAACATGTACATTTATTAGTCTCAAACCATTGTGATGATTCAATTTGAAAGTAAAATAAGTTTGCTTATATTAATGCTTTCTTATACCAATGTCATATGTCAAATAAAAGTAGATAAGATCACCTTATACATTATCATTTAAAATGACAGTATTTAAGATGGCCTGAATGATAGTATTGATTCTTTCTTTAAAGATGCTTGTTCGAAATCTGTCTAGAGCTCTTTGGAAAACATTACATATAGAGAAGAGATGCTTTGCTTCTGACCCAGCAAAAGTTCAGCCAGAAACTATAGACAATGAAGATCCTATCCAGGTAATAATTATGTTATAAAATTCATGTATGTAATTTGGCTAGAATAATGCAATATTAACATATTAAGTCTAAATAGGCTTTTAAACATGCTTAATTTTGTAAGTATGCCTGTGTTGGTCTACATTTTTCTTGCAACCAAGATAGGTATCTCAAAAATTTATCTTTTATTGAATCTATTTCTAATCATTTTTGTGGTTTTGAAGATAAAAACAATTATATTTTAACAAGCCTTAACAAATGGAGCTAGGAAAAAATATAAAAAAATAATATTCACAAAACTTCTATGAGTCGAGCGGTTTATCAATAACATACACAAAACCTCTATTTTTTACATTTATTTTTTTATGAACTATAGCTTTAATACCACAAACATGAGTTACATGTATAATACTGATTGAAAATGAAATTATTATTTTATTCAACTTTCTAGGCAGAATATCTCAACAAAGACATCTGTCTTCTGGTGGATGAGAAGGATAATTTCATTGGTACAGCTACCAAAAGAGATTGTCACAGAGTTGGACCTGATGGCAACATACTGCTCCACCGTGCCTTCAGTGTCTTTTTATTCAACAAACGAGGAGATATGCTTCTACAAAGAAGATCCAGTCATAAAGTAACAAACATGTTATCAGCCATTTTACATCCCCGCTGCAGGGACTTTGGTCGGTTAATGAGGATGGGCTATAATCCTCTACGCTGGCCCAATGCAGATTAGAGGGTATTAACAGCTGCAAATGCAGCCGGGACTAACATCTTAACATGGCTTTCAAAGCACATAGTAGCTCAAATAATATTTTTTACAGTATCCTATGTGATGACTAACCCTTGTGATAGTTGTTTAACAACAACGATCGCGGGTCGCGGCGCTTATACGCCCCTACGCCACCGAGCCTAATGTAGAATGGTTCATATAAATATATATACAGTTCCATGAAAACATAAAAATAATAAAATTTATTTGATTTTATTTCAGGTTACATATCCCGATTATTATTCCAATGCTTGTTGCAGTCATCCTTTATACATAGATAATAAAGCTGAAGATGTTATTACAGCAGCAAGACGCAGATTGAATCATGAATTTGGCATACCATTGGATCAGGTAAAGTAAAAACATAGAAGTAACATGTGAATGTGTTTTATTTCAACTGTTTTCCTACGACTTTGCCCTTGGTGCTTCCCATGGGTGATTTTTTTAAATCTGTCTAGTATTTTCGAAACATTTTCAATGCAAATTATACACGTTTTATATACAGATGGACCCAGAACTGTTCATACCCATGACACGGGTACATTATCACGACCCCGGCGATGGCGTGTGGGGCGAACATGAGATAGACCACATCCTTATCTTCCAAGGGGACGTCAAGATCAAACCCAACTCTGACGAGATATCAGAATATTGCTACGTGCCAAAGAATGAATTTAATGCGTGAGTACTACTGCCTGGACTTTTGTTTATTTAAACTTCATTTCAAAAATTAATACAATAGTGATGACGACAAATTTTTGTTTGTTTGTCCATCAGGTAGAGTGTTAAAAAATATTAAACACGTATTTTTTTTCGTAATCATAAAATTACAGCGATAGATGGAGTTGAAATTTCGCATGACGTCAAGTTATGGTACATTTTCTACTAAACTGTGACGTAGCGAGCACCCACTCCTCAACTTTAATGCCTGTTATCTAAGCTATTTATTGTTAAATTGAAGTAAAAAAATACGTATCTAGTATGTTTATATTATCTGACTGACGGACTAAATAGAATTGCATTCTTTTTTTACCCAGTCGTCATCACTATTGGTGACCTTAATGCCAGTAGATATTCTCTACCAATCAAACGGACTGGTAATATATTCCAGACGGAATTCATTTTAGTGAAAATACCAATATGTGATCGGACAACTTTCAAAAAATTGAAATTTATCAATATGGATGCTATTCTGCACAAATAAAAAGTAAATAATCCTTATTAAGTACCCAAAACTATGTTTAAAATACCGCGTAAACAGCGACTCTGAAAACGTGACATCATTTTTGAGGTAACAAAAGGGATTTTCTGTGACCAAAATAGAAAGTATGGATCATATTCAAACACACAAATAAAAACGAATATGGCCCTTGTAAATTATAAGTTCAGTAAATCACTAATATTATTCTACCCAATTTACCCACTAATGAAGTCACGCGTTCCCATTGATGTTTCGTTTGACGTGACACAGACTACAAATATTGAAAAATTATAAACTTGTTTATTGATTTACAAATATCAAAACTTTTTAATCAAACACAATTGAATATTTATTTAATTGATGTCTGATCCCCTATGATAATTGTAAATTATGCCTGTTTTTAAAAATCTTGTCTATTAATTACTATGTATTATGTTGTTTAGTTCATTGTGTTTTCAACCACATGGTGATATGAAAGGTTACATTATAATAGAACTTTTCTTTCTATTGTTAACTCATAAAAATTACCGTTTGTGACAATTAGCCTCTGAAGTGTTATCACACCATTGAGCTCAAACTACAATTCAAATCCAGAACTAATCCCGCATAACTTTTCATCACATAAAACTATGAATGCACTTTATATATTTTTTTTATGACTCACATTAAAAATATAATCCTGACAGGTATCTACCAACATTAGAGGGGCCTATTACTCCATGGTTCAACATGATCCGCCGGCACAGACTCAAGTTATGGTGGGACAATTTGCATCGGCTTAAAGAAATTGCTGAACCAGATAAAATTAAGAAATTCAATACTGAGAAATAGATAAAACATAACGCTATTATCATCATATAGACACTTGACTGAACACTTTATTGGTATACACTCTGTTTAGAGACAGGAGTCCTATACAGTTTTATGAAGACTCGCATCTAAAAACCTAGCTTTAAGGTTTACTGCAAAATATTATTTCTCAATATTTTATAAGAACAGCAAAGACACAAAGGTAGCTCTTATGTTCGTTAGATTATTAAAATTATTATTATTGTATTTAATATTTTTTTAATTATCCAATTATTATGTTTTCTGTAACCACTGCTAATTGCCATACCACAAAAGCAGTGCCGTACACTGATTTTGAAGGATCTAATTTTCTTCATAGTTTGAATCATTTAAAAAAAAGTACATAATTTTAACGCCTTTTAATGTATCTAAAGTTAAAAAAACCCTCTGCCTTTAGTTAAAAGCAATTACTGCAGTCAGTGCTGAAAATCGGGCAGTCCATTTCTTTAAATAAGTGAAAATATTTAATAAAATTATGAATTAAATGTATATTATCATTAGATAGAGAATATAATGAAAATGGGTGCTTTCAATACATTTTTATTCAAAATAAATATTTTAAGCAGGTAATTGGCATTATAATTATTATCTAGAAACCACAAGAATCCGACGGCACTCTTATGTTATTCATATATAGGCTTCAACAATTCATCAGAGCTATTCGCATCTGATGCTGAAGATGTCCTCGCTGACTTGTAAGCGGTGGTCACCCACTGCAGAGTTCTGACGTGCTTCTTCTTCCGAAACGCTTTCCTCTTCAAGGAGTTTTTAAAGTGTGCTTCGGTGTCAGTGAGTGAACGCAATAAATACGCTTTACAAGTAACATGGTTTCCTGCGTGTAAACCATTCCTATATGCTGTGTGGAGATACCGCACGGCCATTACTTGTAGTACCTAGAATGAACGACAAATGATGGGGCTTATGAATATAGGCCAAAATAGCGTTCTGCTAATTTTGACATTTCGGTGATAAATAGGTACTTAGTAAAAGATAAACGATGGGGGTTTAATAAGGCAAAAATAACGTTCTGCCAATTTTGACATTGTTACTATTATAAATGAGAAGTAATTAAAAGGTCAGCCATAAAAAAATTTGGTTAGCCACAAAAATCAGTATTTTAATCGTTTGATCAGCATTTAAAGATTTTGTATGCAAGAAAAATAAAACAATCGGCAATCCTTGTTTCGCAAATAATCTTCATAATGATCAGTAATTTAATCATTTACAGTCAGCTTAAAATAATATGTGTATGTCAAATAAACAGTCTATCCCCAAAATAACTACTTGATCAGAAAGATTCAGGATTGGTCAGCAAGAAATATTTGTCCGGTTAGCAGTTCATTTGATCGGTTTGCGTATTTAAAGCATGGTTAGAAGAATAACTAATTGGTTTGCATTTTTATTGAAAAGTCTGCAATGTACCTTAAAAGTGGGCAGAGCAAGAGTAGTCGCATGATACTAGTAGCCAATCGCGTGCGTGTATTGTCATTCGGTGTCTATGCGGCGATTAGTAGCTGTCAAATTACAGTGATAATAACTTGTTTTATGTTAATTAGTGTGAATTTTGATATTTTGCGAGTGTTATATGAGTACTGTAGGTAGCAGCCGGGACCGACGGCTTAACGTGCCCTCCGAAGCACGGAATCATCTTACTTTCGGACAATCAGGTGATTCAGGCCTGCAATGTCCTAAACAAACTGGGAAAAACTCACAGAGAAATATTTGAGAGTGTCCCCACCGGGAATCGAACCCAGTACCTTCGGATCGAGAGCCTAACGCTCTAACCACTAGGACACGGAGGCAGTTAATTTAATTAGTTAGTTTACTGTAAATACCCATTCATTGTTTTTGTAAGGAATGCGCCCATTTTGCGCCAGTCATTATTGCTATTTTTATATGCTTCACAAAATTAGATTAGTTGCTTCCCTCTAAGTGCTGTTCAAAATTGTATTTAACATGCGTCACTCATTGCAGCTTATATGATTATTATGCTAATAAAAAATAATTACAGCCGTCCAGAATGTAAAAAATTGTCGATTGAGTTGATATTGTTTGCTAGCCATTGTCTGCTGACCAATCATATATTTCAACTGACAGAATACATTTTTCTGCTAGCAAAAATGTGAATACTATGCTAACCTGTTAAATAACACCCATTATAAATATATAAGTGCCTAAAGGATACTTGCTAATGTGATATTTTAAAAAAGTAACTGAAACCACTTCATATATTACGGATATAGTTATCATGTGCTTAAATGCATAGCTTTTATTATATAATACTAGCTGTTTTCCCGTGACTTTACATGCATAAATAATAGCATATGATGTGGCTACCCGTCGGTGAAAGAGTTTTTAAAATTGGTCAAGTAATATCGGAGCCTATTTGATGCGAATAATCAAGTATTACCTCTTTATAATATTAGTATATATTAACTAGATTGTAGACTAACCCTTATTGTTTTTCTTACTACGTGGCGGACTAGGGTGGGGGGGGGGTCCGCCAAAACCATAATTATAGGTATAATAAAGTTAAATGTATACTTTTATGTAAACGCAATATCAAGTTTTTGCCCTGCCCTGCGATTATGTAAAAATCCAAACCCGAATTCGAATTCACTCAGGTGTCTGAAATCACTTCAAATAACAACATCCGCTCAATCTTGAATCGGTAATAACGTTTCGTGACAAAAGTGAAGTGAGTTTTGAAAAATATAGGAATAGAATATCTGAGGCATGTATATTCAATCAATTTTGTTTTGTATTTTTATACAAAAAAAATGGAATCAATAGAATTTCTCCACTATAAATAACGTGAATTCGTCGGACACTTGAGTGAATTCGAATTCGGGTCTGGATTTACAGAATCGCAGGGCTGGTTGGAAAAAGTTGTCGATCAAGGCCTATTGCTGCCCCAGACCCTCCGATGAGGTTAGTCCGCCACTGCTCTAAGATGTCTATTAGCCAGTTGCACAAACGTTCATTAAAATTCTCATTAGTTTAAAGTGACATTACCCATACAAATTAGACATTCATTAGAACTTAAAGGAGTCATTAAACCTTAATGGACGTTTGTGCAACTGAACGAATTTTCTTACAATCTATTTAATTACCATTGCTATTATAATCAAAGCCATCACAGCATTAAAACGCCACGAAACAATCATCATTTCGTTAATGAGTTTCTCTTCGCATCCATCTTTCCATATCGTAAGTTGTTTCTGTTCCAAAATCATAATATTTATGAACTTAACTTTCTATATTTAAACTAATTTAACAACAATAATTGAGTAGCTCGGTGGCGTAATGGATAAGCGCCGCGGCCCGCGATCGTTGTCGTTAAGCAACTTTCGCTAGGGTCGGTCACGGGATGGGTGACCGAAAAATTATTATTTCGAGCTAGTCCATGCTTCGGAAGGCACGTTAAGCCGTTGGTCCCGGCTGCATTTGCAGTCGTTAATACCCTCCAATTAGGCATTGGGCCAGCGTGGAGGGTCATGGCCTATCCTCCTTAATCATCCATAAGGAAGGCCTGAGCCCCTGCAGTGGGGACGTAAAAGGGCTGGTGATGGTGCGATGAACAACAATACCCAAAAGTCAGTATAGGTACGCTTACGGCAGGATTATATTTATAGATAGCTCCCATTTTCGTGACACCATGGTGAATACACGGCCACATCGTATCCATAGAACAACAGCTATACGGAACATTGTCTGCTATGAATCTACGATTAACACTGTAACACAGAATGGTTTAGCTGCCATAGTAAAATATAAGAAAACCAATGAACATGAAACTGTATTACATAATAAATCTAGGTAGCTATAAAGAGAAGAGTGAGTAAACGAGGTTGCATATATTAAGTATATGTAAGTGTAAATATTATAAAAAATAATTATTATGGTATTAATTCTTTGTTTACAAATTGTTTATAGGTTCATCCGCTACCCTATCGTTAAGTCTTATATTTACCTCCATCTCAAGGTTGCCTGGAAGAGATCAAATTTAATAATTAGGCCGCCTATTATACGTCTCCAATTATCGTATTATACTTAATTGTATTTTGTTTTGTGTGTATAATAAAGAGTATCTATCCAAGGTTTCCGACTTTTTCTTTTTTAAGTTTTCTTTCTTTGTATTTAATCGTTAATTTTCCATGAAAAATGAAATAAAGGAATCATTGAGAAACTAACAGAATCTTTGAGTCCATAATTTCCCCAGTCGTGTACCATGGTATATAAAACCACTCTTGAAAGTTGACGCGGCCGCAGCAATGGAACCTCGTCTGAAGTCTATCTATGGCTACCTTGGACGGCAGGTGACTGGCATAACGCAGCATGGCTTTCGTTATACCCCCTTTGATTTTTGCTACAAATTTGAAAGCGGTTACATCAAAACAGGTGATGATATATGTACATAAAGTTGAGTACGCGATATTACAATTTAAGTAAAACATCAACAAACTCGTTGGACTACATAACCAACATCAGAAACAAAAACGTTCGTTAAATGAATTTTAATAATCGTCTACCTTCATGCAAAAATATACTGTTTTGAAATACACTAATATCTTAACCCTGCAGCCCTCTAATCGATGAGATAATGGGATACTTCATTAATGTCCGATTAGCCGATTATGTCCCCACCTCTGGGGCACAGGCCTTTGATCAACCATGACCAACCGTTTGGCCCATTGCAGATTGGTGTTCCGAAACAAGGAGCTCGAAATAATAAGTTTTTGGTATAAGTACCTATCAAGGCATTAGGCGACGGTAATGTAATGAGCAGAGGTCGGAATTATGTAGAGTTATTTATGTACTTGCATCGAAATGTTGATATTAATTTTCTAATGGACAATCTTGGACATCCGATGTCATTGATGTAAGTTTGGCAACGTCGTGCGTGCAGTAGTTTAAATTGTGTAAAAGTAAATAACTTTTTCGCTGTATGAAATCAGTGTAAGTACATGAATAACTCTACCTAATTCCGACCACTGGTAATGAGTAATCTCATAATAGTATCCGCCTGTGCTCTAGCCGTAATGTCGATAGTTAAATAAGCAAAAATGTAAAACCTCGTATTATTGTTGACTGAAGACCTGAATAAAACATAATGGCAAGGAACACGATTATCATCACAATCAGCGACCATATGTAATAATACAAGCCGTTGGTTACGTTGTATTCTTTCTTCGGAAGTCCAGCCTTGAATAACTGATACAATCCATACAACTAAACAAATAGACGTAGACAAAGATAGTAAGCGCAAAAAATTATATTAGTATATGTATGCATAATTTTAATATAGCAATATAAATTTTTTATTACAAACAGTGATAGAAAGATATGCTTCAATATGAGTGTGTAATATCTCGATACATTTGTATAACTTTTTATCTATAAACTAGATTATAAAAAAGCATAATATACTTACCTCTATTACTACTGCAATAACAGATCCACTTGCAATAATAACAGGTATAGCATTGCCGTCCGGCCAACACACGAGATCCAATAACGTTCCTTCTTCACTTCTTATACTTTCAGAAGTGTTAACTAACCATATGAGATAAAAAATAATTACAGGCATGCATGCCATTAGTAACATTCTGATATTATTGAAGGAAGCCCAAGTCAAATACATAATTTCCCTTTCTATTATTTTCTTATCAATAACTATAAATAGGACCGTAGGTATTTTAATCCTTTGTTCTTTCTTTGGTAATGGTTCAAATGCGCATTTTAAATATTTCAATCTGTTTCAATGTTTCAAGCACAGACTAAGAAGATACCAGATACTATGTATGTTTCAAGCTTACAAACATGCGACCAAAAAGTATAGTTTAAATAGTATGAGTATACTACCCAAAAAGTATACATCTAACTCCTAGTATATATGTATTTTGCTCTTTGATATAAATTCATATTGTATGTACACAGTAGTTGTGCCCGCGACTTCGTTTGCATGGGAAAGTATATTAAAAGAATTATTTCTTTCCTATGGATGAGATCGAATAGGATCAATGGGCCCATAACTAACGTAAAGCATTTTTTGTTTGAATCGTAACAGGATATCTTTTTTAAGAAAACAGAGGGGTGCATACTTTTCTTTATATAATATTTCAAATAATCAAAAATTGACAAAACAAGTAAATTTACATACATAGCTAATGCACTCTTATCTGCCTTCCCCTCTGTGTGTGTAAATTTGCATCCAACAAAATTTTTTCACTATTTCGAAAACGAGACATTTTTGTGTTCTGGGACAGATAAACGAAAATAGGCACGGTCCCGTTCTGAACAGGATGTATATAGCCATAACCCACTACGCAGGCCGTATGTACCAGGTACCAACGGCTTAACGTGTTATGTCTTCCTCACACATCAATGGTGACAGTCTCATAATAATATCGGACTTCAGGTAGATGGTACAATGTGATATAAAAAAAGGATGATAGAAAAAAAATACAAGTAAATGAGATTATATTGAGATGCTATTTCACCTAACGTAAACATTATTAGCAGGATTGGCCTGTTGGTTGTTGTTTGGATTACATTAGGTATACTTGTATTAGTAATACTTACGCTGTGTTCTGAGTGCTAAGTGTAAGTTTTACGCTAACATGTTTACTAGTGAGCGCGTTAAGAATTTGTATGGAGATTTATAGTTCTTGGTAGTTACCGCTAGGGGCGCTGTACCAGATTCCATACTAAAATCTTAACGCGCTAACGATCGACAGTGAACGTAAACGTTAAAAAAACTTACACTAAGCGCTCTGTCTTCTTTTGTTTTTGATCTTTTTAAATTATTTCTTTATCTGTCTGGTTATATGCACAAACTATTATTTATGGAAGATTCTTTTGTTCGATTACTATGTAAAATATTTATGCATGTCCATATCATTTTGTTGTTAGTTAGTTATTTAACTGCATTGTCCGTCGAATTCGAAAAACAAAAAGAGTCGTAAACTACACTAAATTACATTAACACAAATAAAACACTACACTAAAATGGAAACACAATGTTTGTATAATTTAATTTATTTGGCTGTTATTTGCACCTATCACCCGATTATTATTTATTACATTTGAGTTTGTAAGGATTCATAATACGCTAGTTCTTCATCCGTTACCGATGGACGAAAGGACTCCACTCCTTGCCGTAACTCTGGTACACCAAGTATCACAGAATCCTGACTGAACTCACTTTCTTTTACTAGACCTGAAAGGAGAGAGAATATATGTAGACGCTAAAGCGTAGGAACTCTGTGTAGAAGCGTATTTACTCTTACGCAAATGACAAGACGAAACAAAAGTCTAACACCCGATTTGATTCCCTATTTCTGAATTGAGAATTAAAAGTAAAGCACGTCTCAAACCGTACTTATGCCATCTTAAAGGTCACTTAAACACGATTTCATTTCTGATTAAAAAAAGATCAATTGATAGCAGTTTGATATAACTAGGACTTTTTAACTTGCAAAGCGTAATTATTCAGAAAAATCAGTTAAGATTTGGACTTTTCTTAATTCAGAAACCGGCCGTAAACCGACTGTGAGCGTCCTAGTGAGAGCGGTCGGTCAGGGTTTAAATATGTACATACGTTTTATTTCGGCATCCAAAATATCAATATCTATATACTATGAAATACAATAGAATCAATAATTATGCTTATATCAAAGTAAACTGGAAGCCATTACCTGTATTACTTATAAGTATAAAACATTTGACCATATATGTAATCGAAAGACAGACATGGCAAGCATCGGTTCCCTGGATAGATACCTATTAATTTTAATAATTTATTCATAAGATTTCAATACAACGTTTACATCGGTTATTCTTTTGACAGTAATACAAAAAGCCGTCAATGTGGCAGATTATATTTTAAAGCAGCCAGTATGCAACCTCCAATAATACCGAACCACCATTCAGAGACCATTGTTTGCGTTAAAAAAACCGATCGAATATAATAACAACTCCGAGACACATCACCGATTTAGAAGCAAAATCATTGTATAAAAATAGTTAAGCGGTACACCGAATACTTCCACCTACCAAGTTTACTATGTAGACATAATAATTGCAGAAAGTTTCAAAAGCGACAAGGTTTGTTGTAGGACTCTCCTCTGTCACCTCACCCTCCAAAACCCCTACAGTATATCCTCTGTGGCGTAGTGGATAAGCGCCGCGACCCGCGATCGTTGTTGTTAAGCAATTTTCGCTATGGTCGGTCACAGGATGGGTGACCAAAAAATTATGCGTGCTTCGGAAGGCACGTTAAACCGTTAGTCCCGGCTGCATTTGCAGACGTTAATACCTTCCAATTCGCATTGGGCCAGCGTGGAGGATCATGGCTCATCCTCCTTAGCCATCCACAAGGAAGGCCTGAGCCCCTGCAGTGGGGACGTAAAAAAGAGCCTATGATGATGATGATGTACCCTCTGCTAGGGAATGAGACCTGGGAAGCCGTGATCGAGTCACCAGGAGTGGTAATATACCTGCTTGCAAGTTGTGTACTAGGGCTCTAACGGCGGCGGCTCGCGCTGTATCTATTACAGCGAGCAAATCAGCGCCAGTACATCGCTCGGGTAACGAAGCCGCTATATCTTCAAGGCGCACTTCCTCGGTCATCTTGTAACTGTTTATACAAAACCTTTTTCAATATATAGCTCATACCAATTAACATGACACTTGAAGACCTATTCTATTTGCCTTCAAACGAAAATTCTGAAAATTTCCAGTTTTTCTTATGTATGATTTTATTAAAATAAAGACTATCTGTCTTGCGTCACATATTATCGAAAGATGTGTTTATTCAGAATCGTATTATCATTTCGAAAATATACTAAATGTCGTTATCGCAGAAATAGAATAGACCTTCAGCAAAGCGATTCCGTCAAAAAACGAACCCGAATTCGACTTCAGTCAGGTGTCGAAATTCAGTTCGAAAGCGCATCCGCTTGACTTATATTAGTATAGAAATTCTATTGATTCCAATTTTGCACAAAATACAAAACAAGATTTATTTATTCATAACTACGTATCTCAAATATTCTATCTCTATGTCATTCCGAAACTAACTTCACTTATGCCACGAAATGTTAATACAAATTCAAGGTTAAGCAGATGTCGCTTTCGAAGTGAATTCAGACACTTGAATAAATTCGAATTCAGATTTTTACGGAATCGCACTGCTGTCATATTAATTCGTACGAGTTGTAAATAACCATCTTGTCTAGTTGTTTAACGGCCAGTTGCACAAACATCCATTAAGGTTTAATGACGCCTTTAAGCTCTAATGATTGTCAAATTTGTATAGGTAATGTCGCTTTAAACTAATGATAATTTTAACGAACGTTTGTGCAACTGGCTGTAAGAATAATAAATCTACACCTCCTACGACAGATATCGTAGTTTTATTAATTTTACAGTATAGTCAAACATATATTTTCAAACTGTTTATAATATCGTCATACATTTCAAACTCATCGTATGACTGTGTAATAAAGTTAGTAAAAGTAATGCGTAATATAATTTTCATCAGAAATTTTTCTACATCATCAAACTTGTTTTTAATTAATTTTCCTGTATATTCTTCACCATCAGAAATTTTTCTACGTCAACCAAAATATCACTGTAATTAACTCGAGACTCATATTTCTATAGTAAATTTTAATATAATACAACTCGTGATGTACGCATAAATTTTAAAATAATATTCACATAAATTCTGGGTTAGTTTATGATAAATATTCTTGGGTTTCTGTTAGACATTACCAGTGGTCGGAATTAGGTAGAGTTATTCATGTACTTACACTGATTTCATACAGCGAAAGAATAAAGTGGATATGCCTCAAAATCCCGAGATTAATTTTAAAGAGCAGAAAAAATCCCGTGATTTTTTAAATAAAAAGTTATTTACTTATACACAATTTAAACTACTGCACGCACGACGTTGCCAAACTTACATCAATGACATCGGATGTCCAAAGATGTCCAAGATTGTCCATTAGAAATCCCTGGAAGGTCCACATTAATATCAACATTTCGATGCAAGTACATAAATAACTCTACCTAATTCCGACCTCTGGACATTACACAAACTCAGTGCCATTAATAAACAAGGTTTAGCGTCAGAGTAAATTTACGATGAAATTTCAATTTGAGTTTTAATCGAAGTACAAATTATAGAGAGTAAATATTGCTACCGTAGAACCGTACTAGGTTAACCTTCGCTAAGTCTCTGTTTAATATGAATTTTGACTAATACTAAGTGCAGGTTTAGCGTTTTATTAATAGCACTGCAATAAACGTACTTCCGACATAACGCCTTAAGCACAGAGGTCTTCTCGTAAAGGCCGCAGTAAGGCCCCACGTAAATCAGTTTGTCGAGACGCCCTGGTCTCAACAGTGAATGCTCCAATAAGTCTGGTCTATTAGTCGCGCCCATTATAAACACGAAACTCGAACTATCTGCTTCTGTTGCACACATAAATATTTCTTTAAAGAAGCAATCGATTGTAAAAAATACTACTGCACTGTGAATTCAGCGACGACTTTTATATGCTAATATTTAATTACAGTTCTTAATATACTTTATATAAGGCTGTCCATAAAATGTCTCTCTAGGGATAAAATAAATACAAGAATAAGAATAAAACTGACAGACACAGTCCCTAGCTGAAGCCAATATACTTAATTGTGCACTATTACAGTTATATAGTAACATTAACAAGCAATAACAACACAAAAGGCGCCCTTATATCTTATAAAGCAATTTCTCTCAGGCAACCTTTGGTTAAAGGAAATTATACCAATTAACGAAATGAGTTGAGGGTTTGGCATTAAAGAAATTGAAGAATATAGATAGATAGATAAATTTAATTATGTCACATCAATTTGATCTAAAATAAACACTTAAATAAAAAAAATACTATGGGACATAATTCCATACTGTATATCTTAGACTTTTGTTAATCACGATATCCATAATAAAATTATTTTATTTATATTACTAGCGGCGAAGTACGAACAAATACTTCTATACACTTAGCATACAGGATTTTGTATGCTTAGTGGACGAAGATGCCTGTTCAGTCACAAAGAAAAAAAATCGCACAGCAATTGCAGTGACAAGCTTATCTGTGAACATAGAGGCTATTGCAGTGTATTGCAGTGTAACTGCGCACGTCACGTGATTAACGTATACCTTGATTAATCTATGATATTCGATCAACAATAGAACTAGATGCCTGGTCAGTCTCAAAAATGACCGAGGACAACGCCTCACATCAAAGTGCTGTCTGTTTTGTTTTAATATTATAAAAATTGCGAGCACCTGCGCCCTAAGCAAAGCAAAGCTGTTAATTACAAAATTGAAAATTATTTGTCATTAATAAATAAATAATTGGTTGACTATACCGTCCCCACTGGCAACCCCATCGACTTCTGCCAACAGTTGGCTTACGACGCGGTCGCTGGCCCCGCCAGAGTCCCCGGCTGCACCCCGACGCGGCGCTAGAGCGTCCAACTCGTCCAGAAACACTATACAAGGTGAGGACGCGCGCGCAGATTCGAATACTGTAAACGTCATCAACACCAGTCATCCAAAAAGTTTTCGGAAACATCGAATTCATTCTTATAATAGAAATCTTTATAATGGGAACTTACTAGGCCGCTATACAGGTAGAGTAGAGAAGATATACGACCGTAAGCGGAAACAACCCTCGGTTAGAAAACTAAATAAGATCTGTGCTTGTTCTTCTTTACTTTATGCATGAACAATAAATGACAGCTACAAACAGACCGTCATTCATACTCGATTTCAGAGCTAATATGCAAATGAAAAAGTAGCTAGTAGCTAGGTCAGATAGGATATCGCGATCTTGTTAACTGAGGGGCAGCTGGAGGCCCCGCTTCCCTGCTCTACCCATAATACCTCTATGGCACTATTAGGGAGATCGCGATCTCGTTAAGTAAGGGGCAGCTGGAGGCCCCGCTTCCCTGTTCTACCCATAATACCTCTGGCACTATTCAATACAACATTTCTATTATGGCAAAGCCAGATAAAATGTTATTTCTTTATACCAATAGAATACCATATTGTTGTAGGTTGAAGCTCCTCTATTTGTTTTACTGAGAGTAAAACAAATATGTATAGGTATAATCCACAACAACAAGTTACTAGTTACAACTGTCATAAATATAACTTGAAAACATTTTTTTAAGTATCCACTCTCAATGAATATTTATTGAAAAATGCATTTATACCACAACATAATATTCCTCTATGAAAGCGAAAGTTTTGGAAATAATTGATTTGTAAGTGTATTTTTCACATTTTTTCAAAATAATTACATACTATTGTTGCAAAAGATGCAAAATACAAAGTACAAAAATGACAAAGTTACCTCTAGGAAAAGGAGAAGTTTTAGAATTACTCTATATCTAAGCACACGTTTCTTGTTTTCTAAGCTACAATTACTTGAGTAGACCAAAAACGAATCAAATACAAATAATTAAAAAACAGTTTTTAAACTCCATTTAAAAACTTTTTTAATTACATATATATACCCTAGGGAAATGTTAAGTGGGATAAAAAGTATCCTATTATCTAAGTCAGCTAATACCCTATCTGTATACCAAATTTCATCAAAATCCGTCCAGTAGTTTCGGCGTGGTTGACCGACAAACATCCAAACAAAGAAACTTTCACATTTATAATTACATATTATAAAAGATATATTTAATAAAGAACTTTAATAAAGAACCCTTTCAAAAAGATATATTTAATGAAGAACAACAAAAAATGTAAACATTACATATTACAGAGGTAACTTTGTGATTATTTTTAATCAAAAATATTAAGCTCTCTACCTTTTCTAACATTTTCTTCTGATTGTCCAATGTACATATTTAAGAGTTCAGGGCCTTTCACACTTAAGAAACTCACATTGAGTTCTGTGCTTACTGCCTTTGCTACCAATGTCTTACCACAACCTGGTGGGCCGTATAACAAAATACCTGAAAATATATTTACATTGTTGTTGTTAAAAAAATATTATCCGCCAACATAATTCATTAGATAGTAAATTTAGATAGTATTTATTTTATTACCTGATCTCTTAAGTGAAGAATTTTTAAATAAATGAGGATATTTAATTGGAAATTCTATTGTTTTCAGAAGTTCTTTTTTTAATTTTTCTAACCCTCCAATATCTTCCCAATACACTTTAGGTATTTTAGGGGCATCTAAATGTTGACTTTGTAAACTCCTTATAGACTCTGTAAATATTCAATTGAAGGAAATATATTAAGATTGCAATTTTGAAGAATAGTTTATTTCATAAATGGAGTAGTCCTTTAATACCTAGAGCCAAAGTAAAATCTTCTTCTCTAATATGTCGTAAATCAGGGTTCGGTCTTAACTGAATATAACTGCTTTGTTGTTTCAAGTATGATTCTCTCATAGCGAAATGGATGAGAGTGTCTAAATCACCATACATAAAAGTTTCTGTTTTTGCTGCCACCCTCTGCAAAACATTTCTACAATGTTTATTAAAGATGATCTCATCAGCATCATTGATCTCAATCAATTCATTACATTTGTTTATGTATGGCTCCCCATCTATACTGAGCTGCATGACAGATGTGAACCACTGCAGCATTTCATATCTCTGTTGCGAGTTCAATTTTGGTATATGTATTTTCTCTAAGAATAATCTTAGGACATTGGGCTTTAAATCTTGGTTTTCAGTTACAGCAATAAATATGATTGGGTGTTTATTGTAATTTTGATATAAATCTGTTATAATGTTGATAAAGTACTCCACCAATCTGCAATCTTCATTATTTTCTGGATCAACAGCAAACACCTGAAGATTTAACAAAAAATATAAAGTAGGTTTCCGGTTACTTTGGTAATAAATTGAACCTTATTTCCTTTACATACTTCAAAATTATCCAACAGTACAATGACTGGAGCAGAAGTTTTAGATTTTTGTACAGTTGAGTTAATTTTACTCTCTGTTTGTTTGGCAGTAGAGCTTTGTAGGGCATTACAATCCACTGGCATATAATTCATACCTGAATATAAAGTTAAATAATAAAATTAAAAGTTATTAGCATGCACAAGAGATTTATTTAAGTCTTCAAATATTTACCATTGTATTTTGCTAAAATCTTGACCAATGTATGTCTTCCAGATCCACTTAATCCGGTCAGTAACAACATTGGTATAATAGGACATGTTAATGATGCAGACAATTCATCTATAATTAAAAAAAATAAAAATCATAATTATATATATATATTTTTTTAATTTACTTTATATTTAATGTGAATTCCATGCTTACTTATGTCACCAGTCAAAAATGGTAAAATAGCTTCTTGCATCTGGTCAAATTTTTGTTTTAAGCCAGTTGGGCATAAACTTAGTAGATGCATGTTCATATTAAATATTTCTTTTGGAGTTAGATATTCATCTTTAGGTTTGATCATATGCATATTTTCACCTAAATTCAACTGAGTCACACCTTTGACTATGAAATATGGTTTTATCACATTATTTAATTCTCTATCATTAATCTCTTCACTATCAGAAATTTTTGTACATTTAAAATAAAGTTTTGCTGTATTCTCTACTAAATCTAAATATTTGTAGTGATATTTGGCTGTAATATTTGGTGTAAGGTCTATGCTAAAAATGTCATTAGTGCTTATAAGCCTAGGCAATTCAAAATGGTTACTTAATACTTCTTTGACAAAATCATTACATACATCATATTCATTGACTACAAGGCTGACTTCTGCTGCAGCTGCAATTTTTGGTGAGCATTGAAAAGAAGGAACAGGGTGAAATGAAATCTGAATATCATCATTATTACTCAAACCAAAAGTTGCCATAATATTGCTGTGTTCTTGTTCAGTTGTAAATGCAGTATCTTCTTTCACCAGTTTAGATCCTATTATTGGTACTATCCTGATATTTTCCAAGTTATTTTCGGTGCGTCCACTCCATAATTTTTTGTGAATTTCAGAAGTTACAAAATTAAGGCTTAATTGACTTCTTATCATTACCATTTTTAATTTCATATTTTTTTCTCATCATTGGTGTTAATTTTAGAGCTAACCATAATACTCCATTATCTGTATAAAAAAGATTTTCACTACAAAGCTGAATAAAATCTTCCTTGGATATTATAAGACATTTATGCAGAACAATGGGTAGATTATATTCTACTTGATCTCGGATAAGTAAGCGTTGAATATAAGTAGGCAAGGTTTTAATTTTGAAGATATTCATGCCCTTTAAATGACGTTTCTTTTGATACCAAATTCTATACTTTATCGCCATATACACAAGAAAAGCATGATAGTTGAACTTTGGATATATAACTTTCAAACAAAATTTTATCACCCATAGTTTCCGTAGTATAACTTCATTCATAGTAAATAGCGTCAGAAATTAGTCAAATTTTGAATATACATAAACAACGGCGGTAATATATTTCCTAAAGCTTCTATTTTCATATAAATTTTTAAATAAACACCAAAACATGACAAAAACCTACGAACTCCGAAATACGAAACGTCAATATTGTGATTTGTGAATGTCATGTCAATTGTCAAGTGTCAACAACGTCAATACAATGTTTTTATAATTTTTTTAGCTTGGAAATCGCTGTGGAAATCCCAGACCACTACTTCACGAGACAATAAGAAACCACAATTCATTTAAATGGTCTTAGTTCTGTCGGGAGCCTAAAATGCCGCTCAATTTTATTTAAGTGCTGCTAACTTGGAAAAGATAGAAAAGGAAAGAAATTCAATGAAATGAAAATGTCTTTATTCAAGTAAGCGTGTTACAAGCACTTTTGAATCGTTCAAATTGTTTTCCTGAACGAACGGTAGGGCCGTTCGTCGACGTCTATTAGCTGACAAGAAGAACAAGCGAAAGAAACTAACCAGCTCTTTATCATAAGTAATGACATTTACATAGATAATGTCATTACCATAATAGTACGTATTTTAACAATAATAAATACAGTTTTCAAAGTCTGTAGGAGCATAGGCTGGTACACATACTTAGTTGTTATAGAACAAAGCGAAGGCTACTAATTCCACGCGCTGTGATCCATAAAAAAAATATCAGCAACTTTATAATAGCCTTTACTCATTAGTATATTCTTTACATGAATTTTAAATTTATTTATGGGTAGGGCAATCACATTTTGTGGAACTTTATTGAACAAAGCAATGTATATTATTGTAGTAGACTTTTTTTTTATATAAAGGAGGGCAAATGACTGCGCTCCACCTGATGGTAAGCGGAGGCGTAGTCCAAACGCGAGGACAGCTAGTGAAAACAGTACGTAGGTACTACACTAGCCAACCTCACCTTGCCGACCTGCAAGGTGCTTCTTCACGCCCCGCTTGAAGGACCCCATGTCAAAGGAAGGAGGGAATACATGGGCCGGGAGACAATTCCATTTTTTGGTAGTACGACAAAGAAATGAGTCGCCAAATTTCTTTGTACGCGAAGGAATCGCTGCCACAGTTAGTTGGTGGCAACGCAAACCAGCACGTGTGGTCCTGAGGAGGAAGGGAGATGGAGGGATAAGGGAAAAGAGTTCTTCAGAGCATTCACCATGGTAGAGACGGTAGAAGACGCTGAGCGAAGCAACATCTCGGCGCAGTTGCAGGCTTTCTAGGTTCTTGGTGACTTCTCCATTGCCAATAATGCGTACTGCGCGGCGCTGCAATCTATCCAAAGCATCGAGTAAGTACCTAGCGGAGCCATCCCAAAGGTGCGAGCAATACTCCATGCATGACCGGACCTGCGTTTTGTATAGCAGGCACAGTTGTTCGGGCGTGAAAAAACGTCGCACCTTATTCAGGACACCGAGTTTACGAGATGCTGTTTTAATAACAGACTCGATGTGGTTTTTGGGATTCAGATCACAGCGCACTTCCATCCCGAGCATGTTGATGCTGCTCTGTAGAGGCAAGGTTGTGCTCTGAAGAGAGGGAAGGGAAGGGAATGGAGGGGTCTTGGCAGTAAATACGCAAACCTGAGTTTTCTTGGCATTGAACTCAACCAAATTTTCAGCACCCCATTTCGATGTGAGATCCAGAACGTGATTGAGCTCAATGACAAGATTCTCCCTTTTCTCCAGGATTTCCGCCCGTCCGACTGTAGGAGCCCCGTGATATCCCACATGCACTGTGCTATCGTCTGCATAGCAATGGATATTTCCAAGTGGAAGCATCTCATTGATATGCAGCAGAAAAAGTGTAGGGGATAGAACGGAGCGCTGAGGCACACCGGAGCTGACCGACATAACACGGATTTTACGCTCACGCAGGAAGTCGGCTATCCAGGCGCAGAGTTGAACGGGCAGACCGTAGGCCGGAAGCTTGGAGAGAAGTCCCTTGTGCCAAACCCTGTCAAATGCCTTAGCAATGTCAAGACTGACAGCCAAGGACTCGCCGCGCTTGTCTATAGCTTCACCCCAGAGGTGCATGACGTGCGATAGAAGATCACCCGTTGATCGTTTTGGTCTAAAGCCATATTGACGATCATTTATAAGGGAGTGATCTTCTAGGTATCGGATCAGTTGGGAGTTAATAATCCTTTCCAGGACTTTACACAGCACAGAGGTGATAGCTATAGGGCGGTAGTTTGCAGGGTCTGACCGATCTCCCTTTTTGGGCACTGGCTGCACAATGGCCTCTCTCCAAGCCTCAGGCACACGACCCGAAGAAAGAGATAGCTGGTATAGGCGCGTAAGTACAGGAGTCAACTCCGCTGCACACATTTTTAGAACAACCGCAGGTATGCCATCAGGACCACTAGCTTTCCGGACATCAAGTGACTGTAGTTCCGCACGCACATCACGCTGCCTGATATGAATATCAGGCATAGTGAAGCCACTAGAAGATAACGTTGGTGGCTGTGCATTACAGTCATTGATTTGGGAATTAGCCGCGAAGAGGCTTGCCAAGAGGTCGGCTTTCTCCTGCGGCTTGTGAGCTAATGTTCCATCTGGACATCGAAGCGGTGGCAGCGAGGGCTGGCAGAAATTGTTTTGCACGGCCTTGGCGAGACGCCAGTAGCTACGGGAGCCCGTAGGGTGCGTAACTAGCTCATGGCCAATACGTGCGACGCGCTGGGCATCCGCTCTGATGTAAGCCTTCTTACAGGACTTGGAAGCCTGATTGTAGGCTGCTTTTATTGAGTCGATATCGGGATCCCTCCGAGCACGACCCCTGATCCAAGCTCGATATGCCAGCTGTTTAGACGCAACAGCGTTAGCACAATCGCGATTGAACCAGCGGTTGTGTTTGCCCATACTGATCAGATCGGAGTGCGGAATGTAGTATTCCATAGCAATACCGATCTCCTCAGTAATAGCAACGGCGCTCGTTGTCGGATCCTTCTCACTAAAGCAGCGCTGCTTCCAAGGAACGGATGCAAGGTACTCGCGCATGCCGTCCCAATCCGCTGAGCCATAGTGCCATACGCGTCGTCGAGTCCTCGGAGGTTGAGGGGGCTCGATTCGCGGCACTTTGGTGGATATCAAGCAGTGGTCGGAATTGCCCAGTGGGGCACGAACATCAACCTGATAACCGACGGGATGGCTCGTAAGCAGAAGGTCCAGTAAGGAAGGCGTTCGACCGACTATGTCTGGGATCCTGGTGGGCTGATCGACCATTTGAGTCAAGTCATGCGTGAGAGCGAATGCGTGGGCTGATCTCCCCGCATGGTCCGTCTTGGAGGAACTTAACCACGATTCGTGGTGAGCGTTGAAGTCCCCCAAGAAAACCAGTTCTGCGTTAGGATACTGCTCCTGCGCGTAATCTGCCGCCCGACTGAGGTGGTCATAAAGTCGAGTTGTCTCCGCATCGCCAGTGTGGGATCTGTAGAGGCACACATAGAGTCTGGCAAGCGAAACGTGTCACAAGAAAAGGGCGGCAATTTCAAAAATTCTTAAGCAGTAAACACTGAATGTAGTACTGCAAAATAATTTTGATACTTTTATTAATTATATTTAATCTTAACATTTAGATATCAATTAAAATTATTTGTTTTGGAACATTTGACTAAAGCGTGACTGTTCTTAATTGTACAGTTAACAGCATATCAGTAGGCCTATTCACTAACTCAACTGACAACCAAGAATCGTCATCACCGTAAAAAATAGACACTTTGATTGTGTCAAAATCACTATTTCGTATTCTCTATCAATGATGAGCAATTTCGAAATGTCAATATCGGCATTCTCCACTGGACTCCATTTTGACACTTGATTTCGTATCGATAAACTGTATTAAAGTAACATTGTTGCAAAGCATATTTGAAGTCGTCGCATAGTACCTCTTAAGCCATTTGTTGTTAAATTAAAGCGAAAAAAAATACGTATCCAATATTTTTCTATTATCTGACTGACGGACTAAATCGAATCTTTTTTTTAACCCATTCGTTATACCTATTGGCTAACAGCACTTATAATATTAAAAATTCATATTTGTCATTAATTAAAAGGGTGTTTTTTGCAACGACTTCTTTGTTTTTTTGTAATGAATATGGGCGACTCTGGCCACATTTTTTTAATAAATGTGATGTTAGCCAATTTTGATTTCTGGCCCTTATATTTATAATGTGTTCATAACACATACATGTCTCCTAAGGGATTTTCATCACAACCTTTTGCTCTGATCCAGAACCACTATCTATCAAATTAAATTAGTCAATATAAACACCAGATTACAATAAAAAAAACATTTATTTTTGTTACAATTAAGTGCCATGGATAAATTACATAATACAGGTGTCACAAAATCATCATGTTAATCACAATAGAAAATTTAAGATAAGATTTTGACTATGAATCAGACTAAAAATACTTTAGTCTGATTCATAGTCAAAATCTGTTTCTAAATATTCTACACCTGATAACAATGACAAGGAATCATCAGAGTCACTCTCTTCACTACTGTCTGCACCAACAGATATAATAAATTTTTCAAGTTCGTTTTCAACAATGCCATCTTTTAATTTGTAATCATTTTCGACATTTAAAACATGATCAGTGTATTTCTTCCAGTCACTAGGGGTAATTAAGTTAAAACACTCTATTATTAAGTTTTCCATTTCCTTTCCTGGTATTCCAATGTTTCTGCTTGCAATTTTTCTTTTTGCTTGACTCCAAACCATCTCTATTGGGTTTAAGTCACAACGATACGGTGGCAGCAATAAAAGTTCATGATTATGTTCTTTTAAAATCTCTTCAGCTTCATATACAGGCAATGTTTTCTTATCATTAACCAAACACATTAACTCTGCCTTTGTCTGATATTCCTCAAAATGTATTCCATTATTTACAAGCCATTTACGGATATCTGCTTTGGTATTAGACATTATAGGCGGTTTATTGATTTGTTTTATATGGTAGCTGGCATTATCCATAACAATTACACTGGGCTTACTTAAATTTGGTATTAATTTTTCTCTGACCCATTTCATAAAGTTCGATGAGTTCATATCATCATGATAATCAGCAGATTTGGATTTACTACTGAACACTAATAATGCACCAGGCACAAAACCTTCCTCAGATCCAGCATGCACAACAATATGCCGTTTTCCAGAGGATATCTTTGTAGTGACACCAGTTGTTGAAGGTCCTTGCCAAGACTTTTTAACTTTATAATTCTGATGTACATAAGTTTCATCAAGGTACACAATTTGCTTTCCTTCGTTTCGTTTTATATTTATTTCTCTCAAATACTTGTGCCTCCATGCAGAAATCTGGTATTTTTCTATAAGCATAGAACGTTCATTTTCATTGCTTTTAAAAGAAAATCCATTCTTAAGCATAATTTTTCGTAAAGTCTCACGGCTACCACTGAATCCTATTGCATCTTTTAATTCATTGTGAAGGCTTCTTAATGTTGGAACAATTTTTTTCACACAGTAAAATTCATTTACTTTATTCCGAATTGCACTTAAATCAAAATTATCTAAAGCAGACACTGTTGGTTGATGAGGTCGTTTTTTCCCAGGAGTGTCCCATTTTCCTTTATTAATTAATGCTTCATTTTTTATCCTTCTTAGTGTCCTTATACTTACATCTATAAAAGATTAAACACTTTGAAACAAAGATATGTTAAATGTATTTAAAAGCAAATAATGATAGACACATACATCAAAATAATTTAAATACCTATTCAACTATGAATGCAATTTATGTTTAATTTAGTTAAGTTTATGTGCATATTTAGCATGTATAACAATTACATGGTTTGATTAGTTTCATGAATTCTGTGAATTTCCTTGTTAAACAAAACATTCTTATGACATCATTGGATGTCAACAATAAAAACCAATACATCATAAAAAACCTATGTAAATATTATAGGAATACTATCAATCTATCTTAAATCAAAACAAGAAAAGAGACCTGTCATTGAAGAAATTTTTTGTAAGTACTGCGTTTCCGAATTCAGCATTTCTTGTTTTTCTAAAGTTTTTATTGCATTTATCTCCTCCATTATTGGTTGAATATCACCATCACAGTTATCTGAAATAGAGCAATATTTTATAAAAAATATCTGTTTAGTTAATTACAGAAAATTAAAACGAAAGTATCAAAATTATAATACAAAACTAACCTAAAAAAGATACAACGTTATCTAATCGTTGTAATTTCTCCATGAAATTTTTATTTAATTCAGTTTTCACTTCAGTAAACTTGTCAATCATGATGGAAAGAAGTTTCCTCGATGAACTTTTTATCGGCTTCGACATAATTTTTAACCAAAAACACAAGTTCAAATTCGCAAAAACAACAAAATTCAATATTCTTGAATTGTCTAACGTAGTGTCAAACTGACAGTTCTATGTTGTTGCCATATGAAAACGGAAAAATAGGTGGTGTCACGTTTCGCTTGCCAAACTTTAGACTCGAGTCTGATGACCTAAGTCCGTATGTACCGCTAGGAGGAAAAAGGAAGGGTCCTCTAGGCAGCGCAATCGGTGACAGCAAACATCCGCCCGGACAAACAAGCATACACCGGCTTTCGCTTTGAAGGACTCTTCAAGTGCGTAGCCGGGATAGTGAAGGTAGCTTGTATCGGCCGGGCGGAGAATTTGCGTCTCCGTCAGAAACAACATTGCAGGCCGTGCTGTCTCTAGGTGTTGGTGGACAGCATTGAGGTTGGCATGGAGTCCCCGTATATTAGAGAACTCAACCTCAAACAGCGAAGGCGTGGGGTTGTGCACCGCTGTACGACCAGAACGTGTTGCTGTGGCTGCCATAAGGATAAGGGGTGAGGAGACGTGAAGCGGGAGGGCATTGTCGCGACTGCTCCAGTCAAAAATATGTGCGCCTGTTTCCCCAGGTGTTGCCCACAGAGGAGTAGCACCGATCCTCCAGACGGAAGGGCCCCCGTACCCCCCCGGGAGTGGCCGCCGGGACCCACGCTCCGGTCACCAACCGGCACGACGGTCCACCCCAAGATTATGCGTGGCATGATAGGGCAGCCTCACGAGCTGGTTAGGCACGCTTGGGCCCCTGTACTGTACCACGGGCGGCCAGCGGTCAGCCGTTTCTACGGGTCTCCCTGGCTGGCGGGTCGATGCAGTCCTCCTGGCACTGGTTCGACGGAGGCACCCACCGGACCGAAACAGTCACGGCAATGTCGTCCCGAGCTCTGGTTGTACGTTGGCTGATCCCGAAACGCGCTCTACGAGCGAGCACTTCACGGGTTTTTCACCATGTGTGTACGGTGGTAACTAACCAGGCGGGATTAAACCCTACCACCAGTTGCGAGCAGATCTGAGCTCGAATTCCTTTAGTCGCCTCTTACGACACCCACAGGAAAGGAAGGGGCGGTGAGTTATATATTCTTTCTCCGTCACCGCACGGAATAGACTAAGAACTCTTATAGAGTTAGTTAAGAACTCTTATATAGTAGAAAAAGCTAATATCCGAACATGCAAAACACAAACAAATCATCTCCCAAGAAACTTATTAACCAAAAATAATAACGTAAAACTCAACATGAAATTGTTTACAATGTGACATACACTACAAAAGTGTTTGCTTATTCTATATGTAATATAACTAATTTAGATAGAGGTCGCTTAATTATGTTGCCCTATAACATATGTACAATGAAACGACGCGTGTAAGTTTGTATTACACATCTACCTTGCCTGACTCAAGAGACTAGCTACATTAAAATATGGAGGGTCAGTTTCTGTGAGTTGAAAATGAGATACAATTTACCGCCATCAGACCTATCGCGAGCCAACACCACTATATTCCATTGTACAGTCGGCTAAGAAAGTGGTCTACCACCCTAAGGTTGAATTTCGCGTGTTACGTCAACTAACAACAAGGTTGATTTTCCGTAGCATTAATTTTTTGACACGTCAAGTACACGTCATTATTGCTATCTTCATCATTTTGACGTAACCTTTGACAGTAATTATCTATACCTATAATAAAAATGTAACAAGGTTACATTTGTAAGATATTTTGGAAAAAAATATATGGACGGCCTTCATAAGACTAATAGAAGCCAAAATAATTTTTTTTCTGTCTGTCTGTTTGTATGTTTAAATACTTTAGAGTTAGAATATCGTAAATAAAGTCTTATAGTCTACAAATATCCTACAATAGAATGTAGATTAATTATATTTTAATACAAATAAAAAAAATCAGTAGGTAGTGAAATGCTATGCGTAAGAAGCTATGCGTGTTATAGGTCTGAATATACTGAGATAACGGATAACAGAAATGAATAGCGACGAAAAACATATTGCGCCGACCCATAGCTTAGTGCGAGACAAGGGCTAAAACTAGAAGAGATAGTGAAAATGCTAATTCTTTGGTTGTTAAAAAATATATACAATTCTTTTATAAAATTATAATTCTTAAAGTCTTGTGTAGCCGCCATCTGCCTCTATAACAGCTTGGAGACGTTCCCTCATCGAGCCCACCAGTCTTGAGCAGATATCAGACCCACGTGTTTCCTCCCAAACCTCATTGCAGTGCCCTTGTAGTGCTTCTGCTGTTCGTTCATTACGGTTACACCACCTCTGAACCATAAGACCCCACATATTTTCAATAGGGTTGAGATCTGGCGATTTTGCAGGCCATGGTATCAAGTTTATTTCCGGATGTGCATCAAACCAAGCACGTGTTACCCTTGCTTTATGTAAGGGACAGTTATCCTGTAAATAATTAAATTGACGCATTTCATTTTCTGGATAAACGTTCCGGACGGATAGCAACATAGCATTTTGGAGAACATTAACATAATCTGATGCCGTTGCTCGTGGTGCCAAAAAGGTCAAGTCTCCAACACCATCAGCAATCATCCATCCATACAAATTTTCCGAGATACGACCCGATTCTCTATTTGGCACGACATGATTTTGCGTGTATCGCGTTTTATTCAATCGCCAAAGGTGTAGACGCCTGTGTTGACTGGATTTAAAAGTTTTCTCGTCACAGAAAACAGTGTTCAAAATCAAAAAAATCAAAATCCAAATATTCTATGGCGAAATTTAATCTGGCCATTCTATGAACGTCAGTCATATAAATTTTCTTTGCATAACGCCTGTGATGTAAGCCCATGTAATGTAAATGGTTTCTAATGGTTTGGAGAGTTACGTCAAATATGTCGGCAAAATAACGCGTTGGTATAAAGCCAGATTCCTCATAACTCCGTCTCATGAAGACTCGCTGAGTATCTGATATTTCAGGTCTACGACCGCTACGATTCCGAGCGTTCAAATTCCCCTCCTCGCTTTCTCGTCTTATCCAAAGACGGACAGCTTGTCTCTATAATCAAAAATAAAATATGAACAGAAAAAATTAAAAAAAAATTTTACACTCGGACTTGGTCTGAGATTTTACATTAAACTCACGTCAGACATAATAATACTTACCGACACATTTAATTCTCTAGAAATCTCACTAATATTCAAACCATCATTGTGTAATGCGATTATTTGTGCTCTTTCGTTAATGGATAAATTTCGGGGCATTGTAATGTAAATTAATTAGGATAATGCCGAGAAAATATTTGACATGAATTGTCAAGTGATATATTCTTTTTCAATAAAAGAGTTTTCGTAACAAAATAGTTTCCATTTTGAAGTGACCTACTTAAATTTTAAATTTATGAAATATTGTGAAGGACTATTTGTTGTTGCAAATTATTATCTAATGCATAGGCTGCAAAGGTCAAAATAACATTTGTGCTCTACGACAACACGTCAGCATTGTGCATCTCTTTTTTTTTTGTATGCAATTCTAAAATTCGCCTTTAGCGATGCTTTAAAGACACGGGAAATGTTGTCAAAACTGGTAGACCACTTTCTTGGCCGACCGTACATACTCATGAAAGGTTGTCCAAACAGTTGGTACGTTGGAGGATTGTCTGTAGCCGACATTATAATTTTGTAATGTCAACTTTGGTTAACGTTATTGTTCTGAGAATGGACTGTACTAATCTATTCTATATAGTCTGTGGTTTCTTTCCGGTTTCAACATGGTGAGTAGTTGAAGCTAAAGCTAAAAATTCGTCAATTTGTTCGTAAAAGTGAAGTTTTCTCTATCAATTTATCTGTTTCTGAACTAAAAATAGTTTATTACATGATTATCTTACGTTTTCATCTCCAACGATTGCACTCAATATGTGAATAACAACAGACTTGCCACGAACCTCGTGGTAATGCTTAAATTTAACACGTAATTTTGTGGTTTTAGCCGCCCAAAAAGGATACAAAGGCCTCGGCTAAACAGCCGCAGAAGACACAGAAGAAAAAGGAGGGATCTAGCGGTGGCAAAGCCAAGAAGAAGGTAAACAATTTTAGTTATAGGTTATGTTAGTAGTGCTACAAACAGCATAACGTCCACTCATCATTTTGTTAATAAACTATTTATTTAAAATATTTGCTCTTGCAATTATTTCATTTTTGCATAGTTTTGACTTCAACTGAAAATACCAAAAATATATAGATAAGCCATGTGATTACACCTTATTCTTGAAATTTATTGAGAGTAAAATCTGATATATTGAGTATGATGCCTATTATTGAAAAAGTGATAAGCATCATCTTTATGATATGTATTGCTAATAAAAATTCAATTGTAGAAGTGGTCCAAAGGAAAAGTTCGTGACAAGTTAAACAACCAAGTTTTGTTCGACAAAGCCACCTATGAAAAGCTGTACAAAGAAGTTCCACAGTACAAGCTGATCACACCTGCAGTAGTCTCTGAAAGACTAAAGGTCCGAGGCTCTCTTGCAAGGCGAGCCCTCATTGAACTCAGAGAAAAAGGTAATAATGCTAATATTTTTAAACTTTTTAGTGACTACTTTATTATCATACTAAAATAAAATATGAAGTCCATCTATAATAAAATTTTTCTATAAATATATTGTATTTTGTGATGCACTTGGCATGCTCTTCAATTAAAAATTTGTCTAAATCGTTTCTTTTTCTTTACTGTTTTTTTCCCTTTGCCCTTGAGAGAGACAGATATCTTAATTTTAATATAATGATGATCCTTTTATCTGGATAAGCCATGACAGTAATTAAACTGATATATTGAGTCTGATTTTATAATATTTCCATCTTTTTTAAAATATGAATTATCCCCAATATTAATAAAACATTCTTTTCTAGGTCTCATCAAGCAGGTGGTGCAACACCACGGACAGGTTATCTACACGAGGGCAACCAAGGGTGACGATCCTGTTGCGTAGGTTATGGATAGGTTATAAAAAATAAAAAAGTTAAAAAAAAACTTTGTTTTACTCATCCAATGCCTAAAAATATGTATTTATTATTATCGTACATTAATTTTACGTTTTTCATCCAAATCTATTATAGTGAATCTTGCTGATGGATACAGCTCCCTTATTTTCTCCTTGAAGTTTAACGCATGATCCTCATTAGCCATTTCCACTACTACATTTGTCTGGAATTCAAAGATTTATTTTTCAGTACAAAGTTCATTTTAATTATATAAAATTACACTTTACAATTTATTTTCGAAAATATTTCATATTGACTTTTTATTGGAATGGAATAGGTTGCATAGCAAAGGAAGAAGAGAAACTTTGCCAGACTCGAATAGGTACGAGCTTAAATATTGCCCAAAATATAAATGTTAAGAGCTACCAACCCACGTACTGCTCACATCGCTGTGCACCCACACTTGCTCGGTGATAATGCTCTTGAGCACTGCGTTCTCGTCCGTGATGACCTTGGCGAGTTGTTCCAGACCGCTTCGCTGGTCGGGCACCGCAACTGCGAACCGCAGCAACCGACCAGTGGCACCCAGACCTCGTTGAATCGTACGTGACAGCCGACCGGAATCGACGTTGCCACCGCTTATAACGCACACCGTTCTGAATGCAGATAATTCTTTTCTTACCTGGGCACAGTCAATAGCACGTCAAGCTATACATATAAAACAAATTTTTATCCACGTAACTTTAAACCTTATGGCATTGTTGTTTTTTAAGTTCGCATTTAATTAAGAAAAATTGACATGATAGCCTGACGTTCAGCTGTGTGTACATAATTATTTTATAGTCAACAGCACGCTCCGGAGGAGGTTTCCCCAATCAATTTGATGGCATTGTGGCGTGGACAGTGCAAAGAACCTCGCGCCGTGAAGTACTATAAAAATATTACATTACTTCGTCTAAGTAATGTAATATTTTATAGTACCGGTAGTTTCGGAGACACTCTTTTGATCTCCAGTGTATTTTCGTCCATTCTTATGAAACAACTTCAAAATTATTAATATACCTTTAAGGTGCCGTACATTATAAAAATGCTGAAAAAATCATCACGTGATTAATGGACGTCCCCTAAGGTATTCAAATAAATCTGAGATCGTGCCAAATGAGCCCTTTTATTTGATATGTCAATAATTTTCAAAAGAATCAGTTGTCTGATTTTGGGTCACCGACTTATGGTAAATCCGCGCTTGAATCGGGCACTGCAATAAAACAATTACAAACCGTTTCCCACGCAGTTCTGGCACAAGCCCTTGCATGACAGCAGCGATGGCGCATACTCCCGCGCCGTCCGCCACCAGTCTCTCTTGTTCCAGGACACTTATCACGGCGCGCGCAACATACGTCTCGTCCACAACTAACTATAATTAAATAAAAGCTACAACATACACAATGACTTAATTTGGTGATAGGGTTTTTTTAAGGTACGCATTAACAGATTGCCTAATGCTAGTATTCTTACTTATTCGTGTAAACCTGTCTGTGTGACGAAAATGATAGTCATGCATATATACCATTCTGTCAAGTCTGCCTTTGAGAGTAGCAAAAGCGTTGGCGCCGGCGATGCTGGCGTTGAGACCATCGGCCAGATTAGCCACCGCCGGCACTGTTACCGGCCGGCCCGCCTGAAGTGCCTTCATCATCTTTGGCACTTTTCCGCACTCTGCTCCCTAAAGATTCATTGATGTCTTTTATACTTATAATACTACGTCGAGACAAATTCCAAGAAACTGATTGTTAACACTCGTAACTGAGCATGGTCACAGATACACTTAAGAATGAATAGGCTGTTACTAGGTTAATGCGCTATACCACCCAAGGCTTCATCACCACTTACCATCAGGTGGGATCGTAGTCAAGCGTTAACCCATAAAGTATAAATAAAAAAAACTATACATAGTTTTACAATAATTGAAATATTATTTTTTAGGCTTTACAGCACAGCTGGATGTTATTATTTCAATTTTTAGTGAGAATTTGATTTTCGTAACTTTATATCAATAAAACTTTTTTCAAAAGCTACTTAAATTATTCCAAAATCCCTATCCCAACAGAAAGAATGTATTCGACTTCGTTCATATACATTAAGGTAAGGAGTTGTCGTTTTGATGTCATTATAGGTATACATTCGATTTTGGTACACAGCAGCACAATAAACTACACCACAATATGTCAAATTTTCGCAGTTAATTTTGAATTGTATACCCAGCGTGTGTAATTTTAAAATTAAGTAATGAAAGTTTCATAGCTTTGTATGACCCTACTGTTGACTGTACTTTTTACAATCTAAGAAGGGTACGTAGTAATATAAAGAATAAATAAATAAATTTCTTACATAAACCAAACAGGAGCATTTGAGTTTCTTGCAAGCAACAAGCACTGATGCCAAGAGACTTCCAGAAGCCACCGGCACAATAACCGCGTCCGTCTCCGGGAGCTGAGTGATGATCTCCACACCAACCGTACCCAGGCCGGCCATCACCAGAGGATCGCCAGAACTAGGTCAACATTACTTAGACAACATAATGCCGTTTGTGGATGGCACAGTTTTGCCGTGGATTTCTATAGCGGAGCGCGTAACTTGTGCAGTAGACAAAACCGTGGAGCTTCGACATGATACGACCTCATGGTATCCATACAACACTGACGACCATGCCCTTATTTTATTTTACGGCGCAAAAAATGTATGTGTATGTTTAGGTACGTATCAGTAGGTAATTGTCTGTATTTGGGATCTGTAGATATTTCAGCCTTAAAAATAGATATAAGTATGACACTTTTTTGTTAACATCAAATACAAAGCATACATAGAAAAAAAAAACAACATTAATTAATCTACGTGTCACAATCGATGGTCTTATCACTATACAGCGATTTCTTTCCAGACTACCTTTGGATAGAGAGATTAATTTAAAAGGACGTATATAATAATTTTATGATTACAATAAATATAAATATACGAGTACTCATATAGGTATATAACATAAATATATCGTCTATCAAAGAAAAAAGAAAGCAATTAATTTGAATTAAACAAATTAACTTGGTATATAGAATTTCTTAAGCATCGTATCTTAAACGAGTCTGCGAGAGAAAAAATATTTGAAATGTGTAAGCCTGATACAAATACGAGAAAAACGGAAATTATTCGATATAAGCCTGGAATATTTTTAATCGAGTTTGTGAGCCAATTACAAGAGACTATATTTAAAAATCCATTTCATTTCAGCTACCTTTACCTTTCATAAAAAACATCAAGTCAAAAATCTTCATTTCCTTCAAGCAAAATTACTAACACGACTTTTTTCACAAATTTTGGTTTTATGTATCATAGCGACAATGAAAATTACTGAAATCCAACTAGAAAATCTACGGGAAATATTTTTTTTTTAAACTTTATTTTTAACTTTTTTTTTAGTAGTTTAATATGATAAAACTTTTATGTAAAGTATTTCTGAGTGGATTTTAATTATTTTTAGAAGTGTTTGACTCAAAAGTCTTCTGCATATATTGCGTGTTGTATTTTTGCTTCATAAATAATTATAAGGCTATTGGTATGCAATATTCCCATGGAAATTTTCATTGGATTCGAAACAAAATATACTTTACGCAATATAATAATATCGATTGAAGTCGTATTTCATTGTTTATATTATTGATTTTTTTACAAATATTTTATAAATATTTATTGTCCGTGTTATATAAAAATATGAGCTTCCAAATATAATATTAGGAAGATTTATGTATTTCATCGAAGTAACATAAGTAAAAGCGTGAAAATACGTAGAAGTCACTTTATATGTATTTGCTTATCATGCTATTGAGAAATTAAAGGAATTTAATTTTTTTTACTAATAATCCGAAAGAAAATGTCGTTGGATTAATTCACATATTAAAAAGGAAATATATAATAGCCTCATAATGATAAATAATAGCTGTTATGTTTTAATGTTTGATCTCTATACTGAAAGTTGGTATTTATATCAGGCTATTAGAACTCATTCAAAAGCAATCATAAAAGGTAAGATAAGGCAAATGAAACCACTAACGTTACAAGAATTTGCCTGCTATCCCGTTGCAATTTCTTCGCATACGTGATAGTGTCACCACAGTTTTCGCCGCAATCGCATAGAACAACGTCTGCGCCGTATTCCGCACACCGCTGCACTTGCGCTGGGGGTGTAGAGTCAGGCAAAACGACCGTCACCTGGTGTTATTAGAACATTTATTTATTGTACGTTGCTCGCATCAGATACACGGAAACCTACCTAAAACGAACTGAACAATAAAAGATCAATCAGTATTTCCCAAACCATAAGTCGCAACCTAACAGTGTCGCGACTCACTGTTGGGCTTAGGTACTCTGCTTATGGGCCCTAATGGGTGATTGCCGACAGAGGGCATAGAACATATATTTGTACTAAAAGGTGGGAACCAAAACTGGAAAATTTTGTTAGATGGACTAGACCTAATCAACTTTGGGAACTACTGGATCATAACCAAGTGAACCAAAAGCGTTTTGATTAAATACTTTTTAAATACTGGTAGCATTTAGGGCACCCTAAACGCAAATATAAATTAATTGCGATACAAGAGTAAGGGTAGGTATCTCTTTATTCTATTTTGTCACAATCAACTTACAGGCACACCTAGTGTTCCTCCGTGATACGCAGCGGCTAGACCCATATTGCCGCGAGACGGAACTAAAATCCCGCGAGCGCATTCTTCTGCGCTACTAGCTAATAACGCATTTCTAACGCCACGTTCTGCACAGCTGTAGGAACAATGAACGGGCAATCAATAGAGCATCAGGTCATCAACACTGAGGGGTGACTATCTTGGTGAGTCGGCCAAAGTTTTGCGGGGTCTCACCCCCGTGAGAGGTTACACCGGGAAACAATGGACAGGCCATTGCCGGGTGGGTTTGTGGATCAGAGTCCCACACATCCCCTGTTACTTGCCATGTGCCAGGGACAGTGCCTATATAATGCATTTCCTCGACTAAAGAAATAATCTAAGTATTCTAACTACCTTTTAACAGTTCTTACCTAATTCAAATTCTGTTTTATTTGGTAAAAATATTTGCGTAAGTTATGTATGACATTTCCTCAAGTAGGCTGTACATAGGTACCTTTTAACAGTTCTTACCTAATTCAAATTCTGTTTTATTTGGTAAAAATATTTGCGTAAATTATGACATTTTCTCAAGTAGGCTGTACATAGGTAGGTAATTACTTCTCTAGACTATAGATAAGATTTAGAGTATAATGAGTTACGTCATAATAATGATGATTGATGTTTAGGGACCACTACTTATTTACCTGCCGGTGTATTGAAGATTTTCACATTTAAGATATATATTATAGTCCATATTCTTGCTCAGTTTAGATTCCTGTAATAATAGTTTTCAATTAACATACAATAAAAAGATGAGATCTACATTAACTATGCTCGGGTGGATTACGTACGCAAAGAGGAGTGTGTATGATACCACCCTCAATTCTGTCGACGGCTTGTTTGATTTCATTAAACGACAATAGGTGTGGCTCATTAACAAGTATTTCAATGTCCGCCTGTAAAATTAACAGATGAAAACAATTCGATCCTGCTCATAATCTAATCATAGTAGGATTAAACTGAATTACCATATTTAATTTGCGATCGACCTAAATATTATGATAGGATATAATCATAAATTTTGATTTTCATCATTTTCCGAAAAGAATGTTTGTACAACTTGTTTATTTTATTTACAAAATCTGACAGATTCAGAGAGTACTTATTAGATTCGCTCAGATTCTCTGTCCTTTTCAAAGAAAAATTAAACCAATGCGAGTTTACTTTAACCTCTTTTCTTGGAGTTTTTCTTGAGTTTATTGATAATATATTAAGTAGATCACATAGCTTATGGTCAAATACTTTAGATCAAAATAGACTGCTTAGTTAAGCTATAATAATTGACCTTTGATTATATAATAAACAGATGTCAAAGCCTTAATCTATCAAATGGAAGGTCGTTTTTCATGTTCATGTTGTATTACAGCTTTGCGTGGCGTAGCGTGCCTTGGAGTGGCCATGTGTCAAAATAATTGGAAGGACCCAGAAGGTTAAACATTTTTGCTTACACAGGTTAGGAGCCCCAGTAGCAGTGCCGGTTTTAGCATTACTAGCGCCCTGGGCGAAATTTCTTCGGCGCCCTCTAACTGCAATTCAATTATAATCAGTTACTACTACATACTACAAATTTTTTTTTTTCGCCGACCCGGCCTACTTACTTGTAATTTTCCCTAAATTTAGGTAGATTGTTAAGTTGGCAGCGTTAGAATGAAACGTAGTGTTCAATCGGTTTAATTTTTCGGGAATCCCTGACTTTCCGACCATACAGAAACAATGTGTTTTTCTATAATCGGGGATTCCCTAGATCTATCTCTTTTAATTTTTGACGAAGAAGAACACAATCAACAATTATCTTCTTTCTTGACATAAGTGGAGGCTCTTAAAACAATTATTCGATTATTTTAAAACAATCAAACACAGTAATCGAACGTTTAACGCTACGTTATGATGCTCTTGTTCCAAATATATAGTGACATTAGTTTTATTTTAAAAGTAGACATAAATAGTGTATAAGTAGCAGATTCATTTTTGACGAATCACATCATTAGGTAAGTACAGATTCATTTTTACCCTAATAGGGTGTCACATAATTGTTATCTATAACTTTGTGTAATTGTTGTAACTTTGTGACAGTGAGTTTGCAGTGGGCCACTACTTATTATATGATCAATTATTTTGCTATTTCGAATAAGTGGATAAGTAGCTGGATCCGCTATATTCGGGACAACAATATCAACATCATCTAGTACATGTATTTGTTGTACATCAATAACAGATTTATCCTGAGCAGCATCTGTAATCATAGCACAACTTGCTTCCTTACTTCGGGATTTTTCATCCACAATCTCTTGAGTAGCTATTCCATCTGACTTGCCAGACAGAGGCTCCAATGCCGATGCATTCGTTTGTATTGCAGCATTTTAGCTTCAGCTTAACGTTTAAACATGGTGAAACGAAAATTTTCTTAAATGACCGAGCGATAATGCCTAATACGTCATATTACATAATAAAATACATATCTTCATATTGGTAATCGGTATGTTGTTCTGTTTTACCATAATATAATATTTTTCTTGTTAAGTTTCCTTTCAATTCATGCTGAAAGTGAGGCAACTTGAAAATAAAAAAAAAATCCTCAAGGTTCTTGTTCTTTTTTCGCCGACCCAGTAGGCCTTGTTCAATGAGCAAGGGAACTATAAGAGGGAGTTTGTGGGAAATGAGGAAGTATTAGAAAAAAACATTAGTTCCCGAAATCAAATTAGATGTCGCTACGGTAAGTTCTTGATTTCTCCATGACAACCCTTCCAGTTTTCTTTCAAGTTTAAAAGTAGTTTTCAAAACTCAATTAACAACTCATATTCTATTTGTACTTTTTCGTATTTGTATTGATATCTAAGTTTCGAACTTTTAAATTTCAGTTTTTTAATATGTTAGTTAAAATGAACCGAAATGACTGTCTTTGTTCCATTCGTTTCCTGCAAAAATCAACTTTTGCTAGAGTCGCCATCTAGGTGGAGGTATTTTTGTAGTGCTTTCGTTTTTATTAAATACTTCCTCATTATAAAGAATCAGAAAGAAGCGCCGGACGAAAAAAAAGGGGCGCCGCAGGCCGCCCCTTTTTGTCCGGCGCCCCTGGGCGGTCGCCCAACCGCGCCCTACCCTAACGCCGCTAGAGTTTGGCAAGCGAAACGTGACACCACCTATTTTTCCGTTTTCATATGGCAACAACATAGAACTGTCAGTTTGACACTACGTTAGACAATTCAAGAATATTGAATTTTGTTGTTTTTGCGAATTTGAACTTGTGTTTTTGGTTAAAAATTATGTCGAAGCCGATAAAAAGTTCATCGAGGAAACTTCTTTCCATCATGATTGACAAGTTTACTGAAGTGAAAACTGAATTAAATAAAAATTTCATGGAGAAATTACAACGATTAGATAACGTTGTATCTTTTTTAGGTTAGTTTTGTATTATAATTTTGATACTTTCGTTTTAATTTTCTGTAATTAACTAAACAGATATTTTTTATAAAATATTGCTCTATTTCAGATAACTGTGATGGTGATATTCAACCAATAATGGAGGAGATAAATGCAATAAAAACTTTAGAAAAACAAGAAATGCTGAATTCGGAAACGCAGTACTTACAAAAAATTTCTTCAATGACAGGTCTCTTTTCTTGTTTTGATTTAAGATAGATTGATAGTATTCCTATAATATTTACATAGGTTTTTTATGATGTATTGGTTTTTATTGTTGACATCCAATGATGTCATAAGAATGTTTTGTTTAACAAGGAAATTCACAGAATTCATGAAACTAATCAAACCATGTAATTGTTATACATGCTAAATATGCACATAAACTTAACTAAATTAAACATAAATTGCATTCATAGTTGAATAGGTATTTAAATTATTTTGATGTATGTGTCTATCATTATTTGCTTTTAAATACATTTAACATATCTTTGTTTCAAAGTGTTTAATCTTTTATAGATGTAAGTATAAGGACACTAAGAAGGATAAAAAATGAAGCATTAATTAATAAAGGAAAATGGGACACTCCTGGGAAAAAACGACCTCATCAACCAACAGTGTCTGCTTTAGATAATTTTGATTTAAGTGCAATTCGGAATAAAGTAAATGAATTTTACTGTGTGAAAAAAATTGTTCCAACATTAAGAAGCCTTCACAATGAATTAAAAGATGCAATAGGATTCAGTGGTAGCCGTGAGACTTTACGAAAAATTATGCTTAAGAATGGATTTTCTTTTAAAAGCAATGAAAATGAACATTCTATGCTTATAGAAAAATACCAGATTTCTGCATGGAGGCACAAGTATTTGAGAGAAATAAATATAAAACGAAATGAAGGAAAGCAAATTGTGTACCTTGATGAAACTTATGTACATCAGAATTATAAAGTTAAAAAGTCTTGGCAAGGACCTTCAACAACTGGTGTCACTACAAAGATATCCTCTGGAAAACGGCATATTGTTGTGCATGCTGGATCTGAGGAAGGTTTTGTGCCTGGTGCATTATTAGTGTTCAGTAGTAAATCCAAATCTGCTGATTATCATGATGATATGAACTCATCGAACTTTATGAAATGGGTCAGAGAAAAATTAATACCAAATTTAAGTAAGCCCAGTGTAATTGTTATGGATAATGCCAGCTACCATATAAAACAAATCAATAAACCGCCTATAATGTCTAATACCAAAGCAGATATCCGTAAATGGCTTGTAAATAATGGAATACATTTTGAGGAATATCAGACAAAGGCAGAGTTAATGTGTTTGGTTAATGATAAGAAAACATTGCCTGTATATGAAGCTGAAGAGATTTTAAAAGAACATAATCATGAACTTTTATTGCTGCCACCGTATCGTTGTGACTTAAACCCAATAGAGATGGTTTGGAGTCAAGCAAAAAGAAAAATTGCAAGCAGAAACATTGGAATACCAGGAAAGGAAATGGAAAACTTAATAATAGAGTGTTTTAACTTAATTACCCCTAGTGACTGGAAGAAATACACTGATCATGTTTTAAATGTCGAAAATGATTACAAATTAAAAGATGGCATTGTTGAAAACGAACTTGAAAAATTTATTATATCTGTTGGTGCAGACAGTAGTGAAGAGAGTGACTCTGATGATTCCTTGTCATTGTTATCAGGTGAAGAATATTTAGAAACAGATTTTGACTATGAATCAGACTAAAGTATTTTTAGTCTGATTCATAGTCAAAATCTTATCTTAAATTTTCTATTGTGATTAACATGATGATTTTGTGACACCTGTATTATGTAATTTATCCATGGCACTTAATTGTAACAAAAATAAATGTTTTTTTTATTGTAATCTGGTGTTTATATTGACTAATTTAATTTGATAGATAGTGGTTCTGGATCAGAGCAAAAGGTTGTGATGAAAATCCCTTAGGAGACATGTATGTGTTATGAACACATTATAAATATAAGGGCCAGAAATCAAAATTGGCTAACATCACATTTATTAAAAAAATGTGGCCAGAGTCGCCCATATTCATTACAAAAAAACAAAGAAGTCGTTGCAAAAAACACCCTTTTAATTAATGACAAATATGAATTTTTAATATTATAAGTGCTGTTAGCCAATAGGTATAACGAATGGGTTAAAAAAAAGATTCGATTTAGTCCGTCAGTCAGATAATAGAAAAATATTGGATACGTATTTTTTTTCGCTTTAATTTAACAACAAATGGCTTAAGAGGTACTATGCGACGACTTCAAATATGCTTTGCAACAATGTTACTTTAATACAGTTTATCGATACGAAATCAAGTGTCAAAATGGAGTCCAGTGGAGAATGCCGATATTGACATTTCGAAATTGCTCATCATTGATAGAGAATACGAAATAGTGATTTTGACACAATCAAAGTGTCTATTTTTTACGGTGATGACGATTCTTGGTTGTCAGTTGAGTTAGTGAATAGGCCTACTGATATGCTGTTAACTGTACAATTAAGAACAGTCACGCTTTAGT